ACACACACACACACACACACACACACACACACACACACACACACACACACACCAGCAGGGCTCTTTTGTCTATAGAGTAACTTTCCACAATATTAAAGTGATCCCACAGATTTAAAGACTAGACCTAAATGTTTGATTTTCAATGCCAAATGCACGAAGGTAAAAACTGATCGTTTTAACCACAGCAAGACAACTGTGCCAATTCCATATGCGTTTGGTTTGGTCTTTCCTGCCGGATAGAATCCTCCTAAGATTTCTGCCCCTCAGTCAAACCTCCCAGATGAAGCCAGGCAAAGACTGACCAACAGCCAAAGACAACCGAAATGACAAGCAACATGTGGAAAGCCTAGTTTTGACTCCCCCAAATTTCAGTCCTCTCCAGCATAAGCTTTATTCTGAGAACAACTGAACAATTCCATAGCCAAGTAGGCTCCCTCTGACTTAGTCAGGAATCTCAGAGCTTCGTACCTGAATACCTGGAGTGTCTTGAACCTGAAGAGCCAGGGTTTCACCTTCTATTTGCACTTGTCTGGTATAGAGATTACCTATAAAGGCAGAAAAAAAAAAAAGTGTGTGTGTGTGTGTATGCACACACACATATTATGTTTTTCCTTCTTGTACTACTTTTAAAACATGGTGGGATTTTTTTTTAAGTAGGAAAAAATATATATAACCTGAACCAATGCATACAAATAAGCTATAGTTTATTCTATCTAATGAGCGTATTTCAGCTGTTCTTTTTAAACAATTGCAATTCTAAACCCAGATTAGGGCATTTATTAAAACCAAGGCAATGTTTGCAAGGTTTTGGAAACTGACTTATCTCATTTTAAACGTGGAGTATTTCCTTGAAGTAAATTTTCTCGTTCAGCATTCATGGCCATTTGTTTTAATTTAGTACTTCATTACTCTCTGGCATCAGTTTAGTCATTAGGTGTAATAAGTTGGTAGGCAAATATTATTAGTAAATGCACAGCCCACATTATCAGTTGGAATAAAAATGTGACATAATGGTAGCCAAATCTACATCAAAGCAGAAGGCTGTCATGCCTTATCTTGGGATGGTTTATATAGCACATTTCAAATAATCCCCTTAGGTACTAAATATGGTCTAAGGATTTAAGCAATTTGCTAACAGAGCATAGGTAGAAAGCCCTTAAGCCTCCCTGGTGGCCATCTTTAATCGCAGAGATTGAAATAGAGTCCTCTGGCTTATTTGGGAACTCCCCTCCTCAAATTCTACCATCTAGTCATTTTTTTTCTTTGTTAAAAAAAAGAGAACTTTAGGTTTACAACGGCTCTCCTTTGGCCTTTGCTTTAAAAGGTCACCTCTGAAAGGCGGCCAACGGAGAGGGAGGGGGGCGGGGGAAGGAGCTGGCCATCTTTTTTTTTTTTTTCTTGTTTTTCTTTTTATGACTTTTGCAGGAGTGTTTTGAAGGGAGAGGCTCTTGAGTACAAAGGGTGCTTCCAACTGGGGTCCCTATAGTTAAAACATACCAAGGAGAATACTTTCAGGCACTTGATAAAATGATGAATGGGCTTGGAATGGAATGAGGCCAGATGGCAGTTATGGGAGGGGGCAAGCAAAATTGGAAGTGGCAGGATCCTGACGCTCAGACTGTCACTGTGAGTGAGGCCCCCTGCGAGACACTGAAAAAGGGTTAAGAGCAGTCCTGTGCTAGCGGAGCGCACACTCTCCAAATGCGCCTCCTCACCTGCGTTTCTTTCATAGTCACCGATGAATCGTTTGGTGAGGAACCGGACCACCAGAGCTGCAGGTCAGAAAAGAGAAAGGAAAGAGAGTTAACTCTGGAGAAGTTAAATTGGTGTCCACCCCACCCCCAGCCTGGGAAACCACTCTCGCAGAGAAAGCAAGTCGGGCGGCCACCAAGTGAAATTCCTACCCTGCAGCTCCTTGACCCTTCTTCCAGACACAACCCAGAGGGGGTAGAAGGCATCGAAGGCCTGGTGAATTATGGCTCTGTCCAGCTGGAAGGGTCATTTGGCCCACCCGCCTCCAGGAGACAAAGGTCTTTCTTAACCTTAAAGACCTCCAGGAGGGGTTCTGTTCCCTAAGTCCCCCTTCTGTTCCAGGCACCGCCAGGCAGGCTCAAGATCCCCAAAGTTCTAATCCCAGTTGCGCCGGCGGTGCCCGTAAGGAGGCCTGGCCATTCTGAATCCCAGTTTTCCTCATCTGTCGAAGAAGGGGGTTAGAGGCAATGCTGGCTCAGGTCCTCGCGGAGGGGCAGCGGATCAGTAGGAAGGGATGGGCGGCCAGCTGCCCTCCCACCTCTCCCCCACGCCTCGCTCACACGCAACTCCCAGCGGGGGCCGTCCACGTCCAACCCCAGAGATAAGCCCGTTCTCGCCCGAGCGCCAAGACTCACCGGTCTTGCCCACGCCACTGGCCCCCACCACAGCGATCTTGACCAGGCGGCGGCCCGCCGCCCCCAGGCAGCAGTCGGCGGCGGCGGCGCTGCCCGGGGCGGGGTACTCGGCGATCGTGCACATGTTCTGGATGAGGCGCATCGCCGCTCCGGCCGGGACTGCACCACGCGGGACGGAACCTGCGTCTTGTGCTGCGCGGGGACGGGCGGGAGAACCCGGCCCGAGGGGTCTGCGGTAAAAAGGCACCAGAGCGCGGCCGCGCGGCAACCGCGACTAGCTCAGGCTCGTGCCGGGGACTGCAGCTGGGCTCCGCGCGCGCTGTTTTCTCCGGGGCTGGCCCCGCCCCCTGCCTCCCGCGGCCAATCCCGAGGCGTCCCGCGAGAGGCTCCGCCCCCGGCGCCGCTCGGCGCGCGCCGCGCCCCTGGGGACACCGGGAGCAAGTGCGGGACCTCGTGAGGCGCGGGGAAAGTGGGGCTGCGGGCCGGAGAGGGGGCAACGTGTGGGCGCGAGCCGAAAGCGCAGCCAATGGCAGACGCGGGTGCCGCCCGGGGTCCCGCTGCGCGGGCACGCGGCCCATGTTGTGGCCGCGGGGGTGGGGGCGCCTCGGGTTCCGGGAAGCGGGGCTCGGCCTCACGGCGGGCGTGGGAGAGGCGGCGCGGCGGCTGCCAGGGCCTCGAAGGGTGTGAGCGCTCGGGGTCGGGAGCGTGCGACCTGCTGCCTGACTTATGCCCATCTCCTTAATTTGGGACGTGATTGCACTGACTTGAGTGCCTCCGATCATAGATTTGGCTGTGATGGCAATCAGTTACAAAGACTCCATATCCACTCCCCTGAGATGTGACAATTAACTTTGGGGTAAAATAATGTCACCCTTGTTGTTCTAGACGCACGTACTCTGCCTCCAGTGCACAAGGCAGCAGATCACTCAACCTCTGACTAGCGCACATGAGCACACAGAAGGTCGGGTGGGTGTACTGCACACTCAGGCAAATCACGAGGTAATTATAGAACAAGCTTTCTAGCGCCTCACACACAGTCACACCTCCTCCGAGAGCTGTGAAATGGAAAGAAAACAGTTACCCCAGCTGTCTCTGGATGCCGATTGGATTGGGAGCCAGAAACCGGAAAGGGTCCGCAGCACTTAGTTTTTGGTTCTAAGGGATGGCAAGACTTAGTTAAGTGACTTGATGCCAAGGAAGACTTGGGCTTGCACAAAATCCCAAGCTCCTGCCCCTTAGGTTCTCATTAGGGAAAGGCTTCAGCGGCAGGCCCCATCCAAGCAACATTCTGTATCTGGAACTGACTGCAGAATGTCACTGGACACTCGGGCTGACCATCTCCCCACTCCCCCATCCCAAACACTCTCCTCCTCACCCTTCTAGCCTGGTGGGCCCCCACGTGTTCCAGAGGCTTTTATCCTAGGGGCGAATGGCAATCAATACTGTGGCTTTATGTCCACACCCACATTAAAGGTTGAAATATAAAAAGGTAAAATAAACCAATTCCCTTATCTACACGTGTCAGGCATCTAGTTTGACTCCCCCTGATGCTCTGAACTTAACTGACCAGGTATCTGACAGAATTTATGAGGCTGACCCAGTTCAGCCTCTGAGATGAACCCTCTTGCCTATGATTTAGGTGTCTGCAGGGAATCAAGGGCTAATCTCAAACTTTGAGACTTGGCAGCAAGTCTAGGTGGGGAAATATAATTAGCAAGGCACACAAACAACCTTGGCAATAAACATAATAAAAGGTTGACTTCTAGGAAGATCACAAATATGAAATCAATTTAGCCATTCGACTCAGAAGGAAAAAAAGAGCATTTCCAATATGCACCATGTCTTTCTGCGTGGGTATAATCAAACTTGAATTTTGTTCTATAAAATCAAACTTAGCAAGACTATAATTACAGGTAATCATGTTCTTTTTAACCCCCCCAAGCCTGTAATTCCATGATGCTTACGTAGTAAAATAATTATGTAGTCTAAAGTTTTTAACTGCTTTTACACACACACACACACACACACACATACACACACACACTCACTCATACACAAACATGACAAAAGTTGTCAGGGGAATTTTGCTTGGAATCATTTTCGCTTCTGGAGCTTGATTTTCATGATTTTCATGACCATGAGCCTGTACTAAGCCTATGATTTTTCTGTCTGAAAAATCATACACACACAAAGGCTGAATTTGGTATTCTTATTTTAAGTCTAAATGATCTGGCTGTGCTTTAAAGAACACAGAAAAGAAAGACACAAGAGAAAGTTGGAAAAAGAAAAGGGAGCTCTTCAGATTCAAAACACCTAGCAAATAGCCCACCTCCACCCCACCTGCTTCAGATGATAACACTGAGAGTTACCCCTTCTTGGAAATGCATAGAATTTTTAAAAAGAAGAAGAAGAAGAAGAAGAAGGGGAAGGGGCAGGGGACTTGATATATGCTGAAAGCTTGTTTTATTCCAGGCTGCAGACTAGGGATTCAGCATATGAGAATCTCATTTTACCTTCACGGCAGTCCTATGAGCTAGATATTATCATTACTTGCACTTGCAGTTATATATTGCTGCTTAGTGAACCACCACAGAGGCTTACAGTTCCCTGGGTTGACTGTGCTCTGCTGGGTGGTTCTCGCCTGGGGCCTCTCACGTTGTAGTCGGACGGTAGCTTCGGCGGGAGTCATCCAAAGGCTCATCTGGGCTGGACATCCAAGATGGCTTCTACATCCACGTGTCTGCCGTTCAGCTGGAATGGCTGGGACAGCTGCGACTAGCCAGCATCTCTCTCACTATCTGACTTCTCTCTGTGGTTGGCTCAGGCTCCCCCACAGCATGGCGGGGAGCTCCCCTTAGAGTGGATAGTCTAAGACAGGAAGCAGAAGCTGCCAACCTCTTAAGGCCTGTGTGGGGAAATGTGCACAGCATCACTTCTGCTATATTCCATTGGCCAAGCAATCACAGAGCCCACCCAGATTAACAGTCAGGGCTCAGGGACACAGATCCCACCCTGTGATGGGAATAGTGTGAAAGAATCTGTGGCCATCTATAAAGCACCACATTTCCATCTTGGAAGTGAGAAAACAAAGGCTTGGGTTAAAAATTCCTCCCAGGTCCACAGATCCTATAAGGGACAGGGACAAAGTCTGAGAAGGATGAAGAACATAGAAAACAGCCAGCAGGTTGACAGTGAGATGATACCGTGCCGCAAAGTGGTTTCAACTGCTCTCTCCTCCTCTATTTTTTTTTTTTTTCGGTCGAGCTAAGAGATGAGGATGGGGGTGGGGAATATGAGAGACTTGGAAAGGAAAAAAAGATATTTTGCCAAGTCCAGATTTTGCCTCAACCTCTGGTGTTTCTGTCACCTCCTTTGATCTTTAGAGCTAATCTTTGATCTGAGAACTTCCGGAGACGTTCCAGTTTCTGGAAGCCCTTAGGGTAGCAGAATATGAATTCAGTGTTGAATGTCTGGGCCAGCAGTATCACAGGCACTATGCTAGGTCCTGGGCCTACACTAAACAGGACAGACACAGTCTTCACCGTTACATGTAGCATGGGAGACAGAAATGAATGAGCAATTTCAATGCAGTGTGAGAAAACACTTTGATAGGGAAATTCAGGAGCCAGAGGAATACATGATAGATCAAAAAACCTGGATTATGGGAGTCAAGGAAGAATGTGAAAACATTCAAGTGGTTGAAAATGTGTATTGCATACAGGCATGCGTGTTTGTAGAAATGCAGAAATGTCTCGAAGAGCTGTAGAACTGGCCCACCCAGGGAGCTGTCCCCTCGTCCACTCTACTGTCCCTCAAAACCCGCAAAGCTAGAGACAGACATGGCGGAAAAGCCCAGGTATCTCCACAATGGAGCCTGACAGCAGAAAGCAACCAAGCCGCAGAAAGATGGAGTCCTCCGTCTCTGCCTTGAAAATCTTATCAGAGTGCGTCTAGTTAATGAAATTAATTTGTATCCATTACCCTAGTGGCAAGGGAGTCTGGGAAACGTGTTTAGCTTTCTAGTTGGGGCAGAAAGGATAGAAATGAAGCTGTGAGCCCAACATGTCCTCCCTACTTCTCCAGCAGCCCAAAGAACATATAGGCCCAGAAAAGGAGAGATCAGGCCCCACCAGACATTAAATTTTCAATTATAGAAGAGTATAATGAAGTTTTCAATTGATTGCTTTGAAACCACTGTTTGAGACCACTATTTTCCTTGCTTCTCTGTAATGTGTCGACACTCAGCTCTGCTTTTTAGAACTGTTTTCCCCTAGTCTAGTCTAGTCTTAATTTCACTTGCACAGAATCCGTTTCCATTCCTCAGTGAGAGCACCCCAATATTCCCTTGGATACATCCCTTCCCCCACTCTCATGTTGCTCAGGTAATGGTAGTGGAGGGGATACCAGTCCCTAATTCCACGAGTGGATACCCCTAAGCCCCTGGGATTCACTCAGGGCTGGGCCAGGGAAATTCTTCCCTGAGAATTTTGCTGGCAAAATGATGCCTCATTTGCCCCAGTGTTAATCAGCTGGTAGAGAGTAAGCCTGGCACTCCAGGGAGCCATCACGCAGCAGCCCTGTGGGGAAGTCTGCTTCAGAACGACACCAACCCAGAAGAAAGCCCACACTGAGAGTCAGAGAGGACCAGGACCCTGATGGCATTTTTCCAGCCCTGCATTAAGCCATGCCCGAAAATCCAGACTTACCCCTTGAAATTCCCAGTCACAAGAGTCAACACGGTCACTTTTGAGGTTAAGCTGGCCTGAGTCGGATCTCTGTCACTTGTCCTGAACAAATGTGCACACATCCTGTTTGTGTGGAGTCCTGGGCTCTGCCCCGGCCACACTGAGATTGACCCCCCACATCAGCAGCATCCCTCATTCAGAACTCTGAAGCTCAGCCATTCCTCCGACACCGAAAGTCATGGCTACCAAGCTGTCCCTTCCTTTTCATTTCACCCTTGCCGCTACCCTGTCAGATTGCTATCCTACAATTGTTGGAAACAAATGCATGATTGAAAAAGGACATTAGTACATCCAGACAATGGAACAGTCAGGACTAAAAAGAAAGGAGATATCATGACATGAAAAGACATAGAGGACCTTAAACGCTTATTACTAAGTGAAAGAGACCAATCTGAAA